AATATTATAAAAACCCCGGACAAAACAGCTCGATCCACAAAAATAAAGGAAATGGTGGAGAAAGTATGTGGTCAGTGAAGGAGCTCGTGGAGCAAAGGAGAATGAAAAGCAACGCCTTTGAAATACGAGTTTTCGAGTGATGATAAAACCCTTGGATATCGACTGTATAGAGAAGTTTGCATTACTCCCGTGATGGAAAAGCTGCTCATCGTTCTCATTTCATTTCAGATGTTTCAGTCCTTTCGCAGCATCTTCTGAAGTTTCGAATTAATCTTTTCAGAAGATTGTTGATTCACTCGGGCGTAGGGATGAAATTAAGTACATCTTCACAACTTTATAGAAGTTAAGCTGATGGAAGAAAAAATATCCTCAAGGCAGTTATCGTGTAGATCGGTTTTCTTACAGATCCAATGAAATTTTTATCAGCGATAAAAAATAGTGGTTTCTCATTGAACCCGTGAAAATTTTGAAATACGAAAATTCTGTTGAGTTTATTCTCCGATATTCAAATTATTTAAAGTAATGGATCTCCACAGTACTTTAGGGCAAAATACAAGCTGTTCTTTTGCTATTTTGATTATTATATGAACATTTAGTTCGTATAATATTAAGACATGGTCAAAAGAAAATTATTTAAAAAAATTTCAGTAGTTCTATGGTGTCGTTTGTGTTTAATTAATTATTCAAGTTGTGCCTTACCCCTCACACTATTGACAAGGTGGTAGCGACAAATTTTTTTAAGTGTATGTCCTTACACTATTAAAAAAATTTGTCTGAAATTTCCAGTACACTTTTTGGAATTTTTTTTCAAATTTAACTACCACTTAAATTTCACGGAATTTCGTCATTGAAAATTCAGAATTTCGTAGAAAAATGAAACAGAACTCTAAATTTCAACTCCATTCATCCCTGAGAATGAATAGAAAACCAGAAAATTCCCGTAAATATATTCTTGGATTTTCAGTAAAGTGACACTGAATTCGATTTAGGGGAAAAAACTCCTGAAATTTCAGATTTCACTGGAAATTCAATGTAATTTGGCACTGAAAATTCATATTAGAATAGAAATTCAAATAAATTGAGGAATTCTCGTCGTTATGCTGCTTAAAAATCTGGAATTTTACAGAATTTTCAGTGAAACCTGAAATTTCATGATGCAGTTCACTATCCTGAACATTAGTAGTCAATTGTCCATAAAATTTAATTTTCTACTGACAGTGTAGAGAACAGGTTTTTCTTATGATTGACCGCATGTTTTTCATAGACAATGTTTATAATATTCCCCAGCTATTGAAAAAAATTCTAACTATCTGTACTACAGCTTAGGGGATAATAAATAATGTAATGCGAAATATTTTATTTCCATTTTCTATTCAATTTCTATTTTATTTCTACTGAGACTTTCCAATTCACTTGGATATCAGTTGAAACTTCAAATATCACAAGTCTTTTCCTCCTCATCATCATGAACGTATTTCATCGAATTGAGCCACTTTTACTTGTTGAAATATTATTTCCTTCCGGAAAAACTCATTCCATCAATCATTCCAAATGAATGTTTACTTCGTGATTAATTTATGTCCGTCGTACTCGGTATCCCCCAAAAGTCAATCCAAATGAACGTGTTTTCCGGAGCACAGAAAATCGAAAAAAAAAAAAATACAGAGTAGTCCCAAGGGTAGGTGAGGGCGAGTGAAGGGCGTATCCCCTCGGGAAGATAGACAGAAAAATCTCTAATTTTCCCGATAATACTCGGCGAGTCGTGACGAACAGGACCAGATGCTCCCCTGGACCCCTGAGAGATTCTTAACACGGAACTGTACAACATCGCTGTGTTTTGAAAACGTGCCGAAATTGCGACAAACTGAAAACACTCGAGTGATCCCCACCTCCGGAACCTCTTTATAAGGGCACGTGTGTGCAAGGGAACACATCCCTCAAGGATATTCATCTCATTCCACCTAAATCCTTGGGAATCCGTTGGACTCAGCTGGCCCGGATTATTCACCCGATCCTGGCACACACCAGTGTTTTTTTCATAAACACATTTCCCTTTTTATAAATTTGTATTTGTAATTCTAAGAAATGAAAAAAAAATCCTCGGCGATTTATGGCTCGTCCATTACTCGAAGAGCCACAAGGTGAATATTTGTTGCAGTCTTAGGGTGAAAAAGAGAGGGGGGATAAACACTTCAGGGTACTTTGCGGCACTCGACGCACTTGAATTTTAAGGCCAAGTGCCGGAAGCGCCGCATCCGATACACCGAGATCACTAGACTCCGTCAACATCTGTTTGGGAAATTATGCACAAAGCTTGTGTACACTTTTTCGCGACAAGATGGGGAGGAAAACATCTCAGTTTTGAAATTGGGTTGTTGCAGGAAATTTCTTTATTGAATGCAATTATGAAATGCGGAAATTGCAATTCATGAATGAAATTATCTAAGAGTTATTTTTCAGAACAAAAATTTTGAAACAAATGTTGGACACGTCACAATGCGAACGTTCTCACCACTGACCAAAATGGAAGAAAATTGTATCGAAAATTTTTCATTCAATTATCATAGTCAGAAATTTTTTTAATCCACGCACAACCGGAATCGGTGTCCTATTGAACGGATTGATTTTTTAAAAATAGTTACGTCTTTATTTAATAAGAATTATGAGAATTTAAAAATCGACAAAATATCCAAAATATATAATATAACCCGCTATATTGTAAAGTTGTTAAAGAATTGCGATATTGATCAAATGTTCTGTTAAACATTCCCTCTTTATAGACAAGTCACACAAATTTTTAGAACTATCGCAACTTTTATGTTTTGAGATTGAAACAATTTCTAGAAGAATTGCGAGTGTCAAAGAATTGAGTAAAAATTCGGAAACCCGATTTTCAGGGTGCAGATTGACTGTTTGTACATTATACATGAAAAGAGGTCTTAATATTGAAAAATTGCAATTCCATTTTTTTTTAATTTCAACAATGTTCCTTAACCCTCTGAAGCGTTTCCAACACTGTGCACTTCCCATAAGATTAACCCTACACTCATAGAAACGGTGGAATGATTTACTTAACGAATCGTGTTAATAGTTAAAAAGTCTCGATAATAGCAACAAAATCCTTTTATCAGTCTAGATTGGTCACCATATAAGTAGCCAGCAGAATTAAAAAAAAACTTTTTAAATTGAAGTATTTAAAAAATTAGAGTAGTTTTTAGAAAAAGATAATTCCCGAATTTTTCCCCCATGTTAAATTAAATTGCTCATTGCGCGACGTTGCCAGAAACTCGCTAGACGCGCCCGGGCAGACTAGAGTGAATTCGACAACGCTGGAGCCTAAATAACACGGCAGTGAATTCCCGCTGAGGGACCGGGCTAGGGTTAATGTTCCAAGATGAACGATCACATTTGAACCTTCAAAGTTTAAATAATAAAATCTAGTTGGTCATAAATGGCAGCTCGGATATTTGAGTTCAAATATGTCAATCCCCATGATCTGAAATAAAAAAACTGGAGAAACATCCCGATAAAATTGAACAGGCCCAGAGTGACCCGTCACCCTCCCCTGTCGTATCGCATTTCATGGGAATATTTTTCGCCCCAAAAACTTGACTCCAGAAGTCCAAACAACCTCTTCTACATGACACATCCGGTGATACTGCCCCATAGAAATCATTTCCCCCCGATTTTTGTGGAAAATTGCAGCGTCGAGAAGGCAACTCGGGGAATTCAGTTGAAACGATTTGGGCTCAAAGTGCGCGTGACGTTGAGGTCTCAACGTGCAAATGACGCGAAAGATTCGGCGAAAGTCAGGAAAAGGTGTCGACGTCAATTCTCCCTGAAGGAGTGTCGGACGTTCGGCTGCGCTTCACGGCCTGTCCAAACAGCCATAAAGGTAATTTGCCGTAGAACGTAAAACTACAAAGAGTATCGTGCCGACGGAAGCGAGCAGTTGGATCTTGAGAGGACTATATGTATAAAACGATTTTTTTCACGAATTTTCGTTCGTATTTATGAGGAAAAATTATCGTAAAACAATACATGCAATGTATACCTGAATTACTAGTTTTAAACGGAAAATATAATGTCATATTTCGCAAATTTTTTTTTTTTTGTTTATTATGTTTCGAAAATTCTAAACTTTTTCATGGGAAAAACTAGTCGTTCAATATAGCCCAACCATTTCATAATTATTTCATGTCTTTGGTCGTCAAAGGACGGCAGTTCAGTGGAAAAATAACCCGTCAAATACCACTCGTGCTTCAAAATTAATCGGATATTTTCCTCAAGCTTTCCTGCCTAGGAACGAGTGTATCAAATTTCGCAGAAAAATCCCTCGTGCTTCGCACCAGGGATTTTAAACCTGCAAAATTTGACACAATCGTTTCTAGGCAACGAAGCTATCGGAAAATATCCGATAATTTTGAAGCACTAGTGGTATTACTACTACCAATTGAATACGATAAAAATTTCCAAGCTTCGGCACTGAAAATTCAGACGAAAGTTTTCAGCAGTGTATAGCGTATAGTCTTCAATATAAACGATTTCCAATCAATATTGATTCCATCAATCATCACCACATTCACCCAATCCAAGTAGAACCCACCATTTTTGCATTAAAAAAATCTTAAAAATGTCGGGATTCACCGCAAGGCTCTCAAACTTACCCATTCTCCCAGTATCCTTCATAAATCAAGTACTCACGATATTTGTAGAAAACTGAGTGGCGACTGGTAAGTAGCGACTTTGATGTCCACCGAGTGTTGAAGCATTCATGAATATCATTAATAACTTTTTGTCAGTGAGGGATAACGCTCGACGGAGACCGGAGTTACATTAGCTAACTCCATTAATATTTCTAGACTCCTCTTTTCCAACCATCAGTCTGGTTAATTATCGTTTGACTGATGGTCCTACCGCAATGCTTCCGCCACCGCAATGTGAATCCCCCAACTGATCGATTCCATCTCCATCGGGTAAGAAATTTCAGTAAATCCACCTCGTCTTCAAGTATTTTTTATTGTCATTGTGATTGATATTTACATAAATCTTGAGCAATTTGGTACCCCTGTTATCGAATCGAGAATACACCGAAACAGAATCTTGGATTCTTCAACTATGCATTCACTTAAATTAATGACTAATTTATTGATCAACTCCTCTGTCAATTTTCCAGAGAGTTGAATTCATAATTTTTACTATAAAAAAGCAGTAAAATAGTCTCCCCAGTTTTTTATTGTACATCACTCGATGCGTTTTCCTTCTGTCAATTTCTTTGGCAATATTATTTGGCATTGCTTATTCTTCAGCCTTACAATTAATTCCCCTCTGAATAGTTAAGTCACTGAACAGAAATGTCTCTCATTTGGTTCTGTTGATCATCTAGAAATAGCCATGGTAATCAGGTCCACGTGTTCCACGAAATAAAAAAACAACTGGCATTTAATACTGTTGATAATTCAATTATGAGGTGGATAATGACTATTATCATTGGACTCTCCACTTATGCTCTGCACAATCATATTGAGGCAGTCAAGGCTGCTCCCACTGCTCTGATTGGGTGAATTCTCTGCCCCTGTGAAGCCTGCAATCAGAAAAAAAAAACAAGCCATTGTTAGATACACGTGTTAATGGTAAAATGGAGTGTGCACTATGCGGCTTGGGAGAATCGATAATCGATCTAGGCGGTTCTATCAAGTGAGAGCAATTAATTCTATTAAACGTGTCGCGGTTTGCATTGAATCGCATTTTGATGCTCCAGACAGCCGGAGGGGGTGCTTCAATGTCGGTAGAGACGAAGCAGATGGATGGAAGACGAATAATTAACGGAAGTTTGCATGCCCCCATTGATTTTGCAATTTGGCAAGTTGAAGCCCTGTGAGGATTTGGGGAGAATATTTCTTTGGATGATTGAGAATATTGTGAAAAACGGAGAATATCGTTCGGAAATTGCTTTCTACTCCCATGAAAATAAATATGTGGCTAGAAAGGAGTTGAAATATGAATAAAAGAGTTGACCCACGCGAATCAGCAGGTCAAAAAAGACGATGCTGCACTGTTAAAAATTTTTGTCTTGAATTGACCAATTTTCAATTAACATTTCGGAATCTAAGAGAGATAGCAAAATTTTTGTTATAACCTTTTTGTAGAGCCGATTGAGAGCTACAACAAATTTAATTACGAAAATTTCGCTGTCTCCCTTAGATTCGGAAATATTTCTCAAAAACTCAACTGGGAGATGAGTCAACTTAAACCGTTTTATCACTTCGCTACTGAATTAATCACGTGTTATGATTCTTTCACCGTGAGAAACCACAGCATTATCAAAAAACTGTGCTTTCAATCGTGGAATAAGAAGATACTAAAGTGATGGATTTGATCAGCCTAAAAATACAATTGAAAATGGCATAAAATGATCAATTAAGTTGACTCGCTCATTTTTTCACTCGTCCCAAACCACCTAGATACATTCACCCCAATTTCAGTAATTGTCGCTGCATAAATTGACGTGTCTAATTAAATAAACCAAAATGCACATGGAGTCCGCATTCATGAATAAATACCAGAATTAATCAACTCCCGATTCTACCTGCTCTTTAAATATGTCTATCGATCCCATCGAGTTCAGCGAACCCCCTCGAACCCATCATGATATATTTTAATCCAGCAGTTACAAATTATCGAAAATGTCGATTCATCCACTAATGGGCTGGCATATGTAATGCGGCATTAAATGATTGATGACAGTCGAATGATTAAACTGTCTCATTGAATATGTTGGAGACAATGAAGTTTAGAGTACATACTGAAGTTGAGAGTGGAAACTTTGGGGGATGTGATAATTAGGGTGAAGTGGAATAGACCATGGTGTGATTGGAGTTGGGGAACAAAGGAATTATTGAATAGAGGGAGCGGAAGGTCGCTCGGTCCATTTGCATTTCATAGAGAAGTGCTTTAGGGCTGTGGAACGTAGGTATACTGTAACAGTGCACTTGTGTCCCCTTCAGGGTCCACTTGCTCTCCATCTAATTACATTCTCTAATTACCCCGAGAACATGGATAGAGTCAATGCCACAATCTCACGATGTTTTTCTTTTCAACTGCCTCCGTCACTCGCATCCCTTGGGGAATAACATTCCCGGTTATAAATACAATTGTGAAATGAGAGTGAACAGTGGGACTGTTACAATGTGTTACTAAATGACTCGGAAAGAACATCCAGAGATGATGAATTGATATTGGTGGACGGGAGAATAACTGAGGTGGGATTCGGAAAGTGCTTGTTCAGCCGGTTTGCGGACGAGTATTTTCCATCTCTGCCAAGAATAACCAAGTTCGGAGTATCTTTCGGAGGCAGTTCATATCTTACTTGAGGCATTTCTATGATAAGAGCATGAAGGAGAAGTTCACGGAGAGAAGAATAATGTTAAATTCAGGATAGGTTTCTCTTAATTCGGTGCTGGAACGAAACGAGTTTTGTTTCAAACGAAAATGGGTGTTGTCCATTAACACAGGGAGTATGAATAAGAATGGATGAATAAATGAATAAAAACATAAATGAATGAATGAATATGAAATATTGTAGAAACTTATCAATTCTAGGATATTGAATATTATACGGGGAAAAGAGTTGAGGAAAAAGTAATATGGAAATGACTTAAGCGGAGACTACAATGAGTTTTAAATGAGTTTTTCCACTGAAAATGCATTATATATGTCTAAAAACGAGTAATTAGTGCAAAAAAATTAATTGCTCCAGTTTTTGAGCTATAGAGGTTTTTTCAAAATTTTTGAAAAAATGTGCATGATCGTTTACTCAATTTTTAAAACAATCTGCCCTTGCGTCCCATGTATTTTGTTTTAGAGCTGTAGTAAACGAGTGTACAAGGACAATTACGAGCTTGTTTATTGAAATTCGACTCCTATACAGTTAATTTCATTTTTTTTAATACAAAAAATTACACCATTCATGTGAAATAGGCAGAAAAATGTTTCTGAAAAAATCGAAAATACAGTTTAAATATTGTAAGGATCATTTTTGTGGCTATTTCACGTGAAGGGTGCAATTTTTGAAATAAAAAGAAAGAAATTAGCTGTGTAGGAGTTGAATTTCAAAAAACTAACTCGTAATTGGTATTGTACATTCTTTAATTTAGAAAAAAAAACTCTGCACTTCAAAAATTGGAGGGCCTGGATTATTTTCAACACTTCAAGCATCTGCGGGGAAAGTGAATAATAAACAGTTAATTTTTTAAAACTAATTATTCGTTTTTAGATATATATAATAGACATTTTCATGATGGAAATCTAGGGCAAATATTTATTCCGTTCATCGAACTGAAAAATCTTCGGAAAGGATAAAAAATTCTGATAAGTATTGACATTTAAGATAATTTAAATTTGAGCCCTCAAAAATTATGATTGATATGTAAATTCCGTAAAAATGTCCGAAAATCGAGTGACTCTCAGGATGAAAATGTCTATCGATCTTCAATGCATAATAAATCTCTCTCCAATAGCCCGCGAACTTTAGAACTCAGTTGTCTCCCCTTAAAAACTACGTTGGTTGACGTAATTCTCGTGCATCATTACGGATTCCCAGAAATTACTGCTCTCCGCACTAATTTTTATGGGGTGTCGTGGAAAATTACGTTTCGATCCATAAAATTCTTTGAAACTTTGTTTTATGCTCCGGATTTATCCATGTTTTAACGTAAAACCTCTCGAAAGAGCAGTTTGTTTCACTTTTATGTGTTGTCACATAATTTTTCCTGAAGTTTTTTCTTCGTGTACAGATGTATATTAACCCTCGGACGAAAAATCCTCTCAAACCCTGTCGGTGTGAGCGGGACGCGGGAACGAGCAACCGGGCTTAGGCGTTGTGTGTGGCAGTAAGCGTTCTGTTCACAGGTTTAATATTACACGCACGGAGAGAAATATTCAGTAAAAATTACGGAACAATTCACGTAATCCGCAATGGGGAATCGTCTTCCGGTAATTTTTTATAGGAGTGGAACAGAAGAAATCCGGACGCTCAGTGAATTCTCAGGTTCATCACCGAACAAAATACGAACTTGTCGCGTAATTTTTCGCGAAGAACTAAAATCTTACAGGAACTTCCCGACTTATTATGCCTCCAAAATCAAAAATTCTTGAACGTTCACCAATTTTTATGAATCTGGTGAGTTATTTCTACGTTGCGATCCGTAAAATTTCTCAATCCTTCGGGAAAAATTGCGGAACGACTTGTTGTCCCCACAGCGGTGAGTCATCAGACGGGTGATTAATTTTTACGGAACAAATCGTAGAATTTACGTGGCGATTCGTACAATTTCAGTTCCGACTCTCACTTTTTATTACATTTTACTTCGCTCGCGAATTACGTTTCGAAACGTAATTTTTACGTTTTTATCTGGTAATTTTTATTGAATTTTCCGAGTTGAATCCGCGCATTTTGTGTTAATCGCCATTTACGTTTTGACATTCCGCATCTTTGTATTTATCTATACCCAATCTAATGTTTCGGTCCTGATGACTTGGAGCAATTGTGTTTACACAGTTGAGTCCTAATATATAATAAAATAAAACGTACAAAAAAATAAGCCAGAAATTATTTCCTCCTCTTCTCTCACCGCATTCCTAGTTCCCCCAAAATAGCGATATTTTCGCCTGAGAAAAGCCTTTCCACATCTCCATTTACCACCTCCTGATTGTGATTCGGTTTGGCGTCCTTGGCGTGAATATCTAAATTCCCAAGTGCTCGTGAATGTTCCATCTCCTGCAGTATGCAACTGACAGAAACGTGTTTTAGAGAAACGTGGGGAATACAACTTTGAACGATATAATCCATTGAAAAAGGAGCTCCACGAAATAAGACTTTACAAGCGTTAGAACCTGTCAGTTGGCTCATGTGACAGTGGCACGCACCGCGGTTTAAACAAGGTGAGGGGGCAGACTGGAACTTTTCGAGAAAGACAGTAGTTGTCGTCGTATCAAAGCTGTGGAGGTGACACGAGCGTTGAAGATGGAAAAAGGAGAATGGCGAATGTTGGATAAAAGAAGGATGCAATTCCATCACAAGCAATCATCGTGCTGGTCCAATTATCGGGTCTTCGTAGAGTGCGAGGACTTTGAAAATGAGTGAAGTGAAAAAAAGGGGTAAAATGTCGTCATAAGCTATTGGACTCATGACTCTGCTGTAGTGGATGTCTTAAGTGTTTAACGTTGCCGACGGCTGGTGCAGTTCATGAGGCACTTAACGGCCAACGTCGGTGGCAAGTAACGTTGCAGAGTGTTGGCTTCAGCATTGATCGATCGTAGCTTGGGCTGAAGGCCTGGTGAGCATGATCTTCTCACACTCACAACTCCCAGATGAGGAAGAGGAAAAGAGTTGCGTGTGGACCATCAAGCTGTGTTGGATAAAGATGTACCTCGGGGTGAAATGCAGACCAGGAGGAATGGGAGAAGTAATAATATTGGAAGGGAAATGTGACGACAGATGTCAAGCTATGGGGACTGCTGCCTGGAGACAGGTGGCATACACAGCATCAAATCCTGTGGTATTTGGATACATTCGTGTTATTG